CTACCCCGAACATTCAGAGGCTTGGCAACTTCATGCATGCCACACTGCTCCAGTATTGCCCCCTGCCCGAGTGATGGCAGGGAAGACAAGTCAAAAAAGCATCCATTTTCTGCCTCTGGACTCTGGGGAAGATACTCTGGTACCTCCTATTCAGTATACAATATACTGTCTCATTAAATGGGCACATACCGTTTTTCCCTCTCAGGACTCTTGTCACAGTGTTTAGGGACTCCTGCTTGTTCTGGACAGAAATCAGAGCTACAATAAGAGGAGGTTTTGTTAGTCTCACCTCCCATTTGCTTGCTGCACAAATTGAACACTGTACAGTGAATGAGAAAGGATGGCTTTATGACTAGAAAGCAGAATGATAAGCTAGTTAACTGGATTTTATTTTGCTGATAAAAGTAACTGTGTGATGTAGGACAAGTCACCTAAACCTAACTTTTCTTCATGATGCATTTTTCAGTGGAGACCAATTCCTCACATACACTGACCACTTATGATTTCAGGCAAAATCAATGCAGTCTGGGCATATTCTGCACATCTGGTAGAAAGATGCATTATATCATGCTGGAATAAATACACGGACATTTTGTGTATGACAGACGACTGCACTCGACCCTAATTTGCACCACTGTTACACTGCCTGCTTTCAGAAGCTCACTTTTTTTCCCTGTTTCAGTGTCTTCAGTGGCAAAACACAATGATCTTCATCCAGCTTAGCAATTGCTGACACAAATCCTGGTTTCCTAGTCTCACAGGAGTCCACCTAACAAGTCTGTCCCAGAGATGGGCATCCTGCCCTAGAGCAAATAAACTGGTGCTTCCAGGCTGTTACAGTTCCAGTGCTGGGTTCCTGCAACTCACCTCGTGTTTGTGGAAGTGTTTTAGAGCCTGTGAGATGTGGAGAGGGAAGGGGGAAAGAAAAAAAAAAAAAAAAAAAAAAAGAGGCAAAACAATGAGGAAAAAAAAAGAGGAAAAAATAAAAGTCAAAGCTTAGCAAGTCAACATCTTCCAAGAAAAACAGGCTTCCCACAGAAAGTGTGTCTGAACTAAGCAGCCAAGCTGCAGAAGTAGGTCAACTAGGTTATCTCAAGGAGGAGGGGAGAGCATCCTGGGCACTAGGTATAGCAGCCAGGGCGCCTATGCAACCATCGCACTGTGCCAGACACATCCTCGGGAGTCTGAAAGACTACTGCAGCAGCAACAGCAGAAGGGGTAAGACGACAAAGTTAAGAAGCTGACTGCCACATAAGCCAAGAGACAAGGCAAAAATAAGGAGAAAGGAGTGTTATTTCCCTTGGTCCTCAGGAAAGAAAAACAAACAGTATCGGAGCCTCTGTTGTTTTAAGACAAGAAAACAAGGGCTATATCTGCCCTTGTCTTACAGATTTGGAGACTGAATGGTACAAATATATTCCAGAATTATAGAGCCACTGAAGAACAACATAAGTGCTGAGAGGAAAGGAAAATACGAGGTTACACAGGAGAAACTTTCTGGTAGTGGGATCCGTTCAGCCATTTAGCAGTGCCTCAAGAGAAATGATCAATACCTCATACCATCAGGTTATCTGTAACGGTGCCACCGCAGTGCCAGCGGCCATGCCGTAGGGAACACTTGCGGCTGGGGAGAGGGGGGCTGGAGGATCCCTTTCTAGAGGATGCCCGAGTGGCAGCTCCCCCTCCTCGGCTCGGCGATGCCACCCGCCGGCTGCCGGCATTAACACAAGGCGGCAGGCACGGGTACCAGGACAGGACCTCCTCCCTCCATCGCTGTGCTTCCACCTGAAGTCTTTTAACTGCTCTCTTTTCTACAAAGCGTGGCAGGGAGCACCACCACCTCCAGTTCTCTGCAGCCTTCAGAAACTGCATGACAGTCTTTCTACTGGAGAAGAGGGATTTACTGAGTCAACAAAATCCTTCTGACAGAGTATCAGCCCTTGCATAAATCCATTAAAAGGCATGACATTCAAAGTGAAAGAGTAAGGATGTCACTGTCAGCATTTACGAATTCATAAAGGCAAACACATTCACAAGCTTCTAATGAAGGGACGTTGTGTGCAAGGAACAAATTGTAGTGAGATGTGATGGTCCTTCCCCGTTTCTCTTAGAACAACAAATAACGAAGGATTTATAGACCTGTGAAATATGGAAGGGAGATTATTCCGGGGGCAGGGGACTGACAGACGCAACCCTTCTAAGCTCAAAGCAGCTTATGACAGCACCTCCATTAAGCCACAACATAAAGTATGTACGTATCATCATATCAACACACAGATGAGAACCTGCAAGAACGTTGCTACATTTAACGCATCTTTCTTTTGACTAGGAAAACTAAGCATTTTGGCAAAGTGCAGAAAGCATTTAGAAAAAGAACTAGTAATTTCTGTATCAAATTTTCTTAAAGTTTGAGACATTAAGTCAAAGCTCGGTAACTGGAAAAAAACCAACCACCAAACAAAAGCCCCAAGCCCTTGTGCAAACACATTCAGAAAAATGGTTAACCATAAGTAAGAGGGAGAGACTGTTTTAGTCAGAGCACCTCAGAAACATCAATAAAGGGACAACTCAGAGGGGAAAAAAAAAAATCATGTAGAAGAAAAAAAAAAGTTGAGGTATATGCATCCATAATGTTAAATAATGAAGACAGATGCATATGCATGGATAATCCCTCTCAGCCAGTTTCACATGAAAGCATATCAACAATTAAAAAATGAAGCCTTTACAGATTCGGCAGTACCTTCCCACTGCTGCAGCTAACACGTCTTCCAGCAGGGAACTGCAGAACCTTCTGGCAGAACTCAGCTGTCCTCTGCTGCATGCAGGTGAAGGCTAACTATTTAAAGTAGTCCAGTTCGTACAGGCTGCTACAGGTGTCGGGAGAGCTCTCAGAAACTGCTCGGGATGTTCGCAGAGGCAGCACCTTTCAGCAGAGTAGCAGTAACAAATGGCTAAGCAGGTAACCACTGCCAGGTACAGCTGCAGTGGACGAAGGCCGGTGTAAGACACACAGACTCATACTATGGCAACTAACGATTCCACTGAAATGACTTCATTTTGAGAGCTGCATAGGCAACACAGAGCTATTGCACTTGTTTCACAATCAACTATTTTCCATCTCTCTTCAAACTTTCACTTCCACAATTTTGATGCTCCAGTTGGCTAAAAGTCTTTATTTAGGAACAACTGAAAGCAGGCGTTTAAATAACAAAGGGGTTGCTTTCTCTATGGGTTTTGTCACTTGGGTCTGTGCTCAGCTCAACAGCAGCATTAAATTCTTGTATTTCTCAACAGAAATTCTGTATTTCTGCAGAACCCAGAGGCCTTGCACACTCACATGACGGGCAGTAGCATTTCAAGTCACCCCCGCAGCAATGCCAGTCCGCACAAAACATGGGAACACTTACGAAACAAACATTAGTAAAACTTGAGTTTGTATTGACTGTGGGATGATGAGCCAAAGATGACCTGGAGAACTTTACGTTCTCCTTGCCAGCCCCGCAGCACTCTTCAGCGAGAGAGAGGGATGCCATCATCCCCCTTCTCCCCACCACAAGTGCCAACTGTCGCAGTGTTTTTCACAAAACTACTGAAACACTAGAGAAATAAAATTCAGCTATCTCAAAAAAAACAAAAACCCACAACCCAACAATGAATTCTTTTAGGAACAAACCAACAATAAATCGCTGCTTTTAGCAGAAGCACTTTACTAGGAATGCAACAGGAGTTTATATTTTGGTGTGTTTGTTTTTTTTTTTTTACATTGGCAAACTAACAAAACATAAAGAGTTCACAGGTTCATTCATTAACAATTCTCCAGTTTTCCTTCTACAGATTTTATTTCAAGAACACCGTGGTCAGACTTTCAGACAAAGAGAAGCAAGTTCTCTCTTAGTTCCCAGATTATTGACCTCATCAGATTTAAACTTGCCAAAAATTACAGACTGATCAATAAATCACTGTAAACTCTTGAGCTTGCCAAGAAACATTACTCCAAGATTTATCTTCTTTTTGGTAAGGACCATGGTGCCTCGTAAAAGACAATCTCCAGGCGTGGACTAGTTTGCCTGCGCCAGTCAATGCATAACAACATTTTCACTGCGGATTAATTTCCGTCTCCTAATGAGGACTCCTTCTTAGGATCCAGCCATTCACGTACACTGTGTGAACAGGAAAGAAGCCTGCCTCTAGGATAACTATGATTTTCTGTTGCCTGCCTCCTCTTTAAAAAAGGATTACTTCCAAAATGGAACCAAAGTTCTCTTAACCTAAAAGATCATTCCTACAAAATACCAAGAGAAAATTTGGAAGGAGAAGTATTTCATAAATCGTATCTAAAATTACTTAAGAGTATCTAACAAATTACAATCCAGAACTGCCAACAGATGTGTATATGACTCATCTCACATATAGTTATGCACAAACTGATTTTTTTTCTGAATTACTTGCAAGAATAAATCTAAAAAAGATATCTATAATTAACTGAGGTACTGATACAGTTGGGAGGTGGGGGAGGAAACAAAGCTTTCCAGCACACAAGCCCTTTGACATCTTATTTAAAAATATGTAGTTAATTTACTTACTTGTTCACACTTCGGCAGACAAAATGAATATGAATTAAGACTGAAGTCTTAAACAGTATACATCAATTTATGAAACAAATAGCCCCACCAAAAAAACTGAACTCCAGTGCCATAAAACACTGAAGACAAATCTTAAAAAAAAAAATTAAAATAAAATGCAATAATAAACTTAACTATTGCCTACAAAAACACTGAGTTTTAGAATTGAGAAATGAGAAATACATATGTTTTAAGAACTGCAAGGTTAAAGTTAGAAGCAGATGATATGCAGAACTACATAATATTGTTTGTTTTTACATGAAGGATATCCAAAGTCAATTATTCTTTTAAGGCCGGCCTACAGAATACGAGAAAAGTACATTAACAAGCTATCAAAACAAAAATATTTCAAAATACTATAGCATTAATATAACTCACCAGTACTATAGTATCTTTTAAGTTCTGTCCGTCTGATGTCTTTCAGTTGATTGTATTTTTTCTTTTTCTTTTCTTTGTCTGGAACAGTTTCCTTTTCCCCAGCAAGTTTACAGTTGTCTTCAGAGGAACTGATTTGCTCCAAAATAACTTTACTTTCATCATCTTTCTCAGAAAGTGTTTTGGAAACAGGAGATCCAGAGGAATTGGCAGAGACGGTCTCGGTGTTTTGTTTGGCTTGCCTTTTCTTTTTCAAACTATGCATAAAGAAAAAACCCACAACATTAAGATATAGCCAACCTCTACAGACAAGCTAACTCACTTGCTAATGATTTTTTTAAAATTAATTTAATATCAGAATTCTTTACAACTCAGTAAAAACCACACACTTTGCATCAGTAACTTGGTAGCAAAGATTATCCTATAGCATACTGTTCAATCATTCATCGTATCATCATCTCAAAGATATCTTCTCAAGAATAACAAAAAAGGCAATAAAGTTTTTACTGTTGTTTCCTGAGGAGGAGGAATGTGGAAAAAGAAACAAAAAATATCGAAAAGTCGTTTTGTTTTTAAACCGTCATACATCTAAACATAGAAACAAGATACTGAATCGCATTTTCAAGATGAAGCTTAGGATAAAATAAAACCTCAGATCATAATGTATTATAATGCAACAGCTAACATAACTTCACAGTCAGCTGCTCTTGCTTTATAAAGCTACTTGTTTTGATATAAACTTGTTATTTATTTCCATTTTGTCCAAGGTTATCTCCCAGCGGCCACCCATGCTACTCCACATCTGTTCTTGCACAACCCACACCACCTGGTACTCCAAGTGTCACCCAGCAGCTCCTTCCACAAAGGAAGTGGCTGCAAACTGCTTATGCGGGAGTATTTTCCCGCTGCTATAGTTCTTTTGAGAGAAATCTTAACAAGCTGCCTATAAATCTTCCAACTTATCACTATAGCAACAAGAGTATGTATTTTTTTTTTTTAGAAGGCTTCTTAAAGCACAGCTCAAGTGAGAAAGATGCTTCAGGAATCCTAACACAGGATTTTCTGCTACATCACCATCTTTAGCACTGACTTTACTTAGAAAGAGCAAAGGCTGACTTTATGGGCTAAGGGTCAGAGTCACTAAAATAGTCCTCAGTTAAGTGTCACTGACACATACCGCACAAACCAAAAAACTAATCTACCTAATGATCATTCTCTCCACTACATTAACTTCTTAGTTGCAAGGTACCTACAGGAGGGAGTAGTATCTTAATCTTGTTCATGCTAAAAACTATGCTACATGCACAGGAAGAATTATGCATAGAAATACAGACAATCAATGAGTCACCACAAATGGGAAAAGGTTACGTGATCTCACAGCAGGAGTTGACGTAAGGGAAAACTTAATGCATTAAGTTATTAATATAATGCAGGAATTTCGGAGATTCTTCCTTCCACGTTTTATATTTCTATTCTATCAATATATTGTTTCAGGCTACAACATGAAAATAAATATACAGAGCATTTGAGAATTATAGTAAGACATTTCAGGCTACACTTTTTTTTTTTTTTTTAATAAAACATTAAAACCAGTTCCCAAGTTTAGAATATCCAGCTTGAGACCTCGGAGAAGGGCAGTTTTTCAGACCACACATGACCACCACCTTCCAGTGAAACATTTGGAAAGATTGTCTGGCAAAAGCTGTGTCTATCACACATGTATGTACACTTATTTCTTAAATGCTTCCTAAAGTATGGTAGCAGGAGATCCACGTTCTGCAGCCAGCTCAGTGAGGATGGGTCCTACTTCTGCAGTGGTTCCCCATTCATTCAAACCCACTGATTTGTAAGACAACTAGTAGTAGTTCATGCTCTGCACAGCAAAAGAGATTTAGTGTGTGAAACTTTACAGATCAGGTCCTGACTACATATGAAAACAACCTACAGGGATTTATAAAAGATAAAAGTGAATACATCTATATAACAAATGAAGTGTTTTGTTTAGACTAATGAAAATTTGAGTGTGCAAAGGAAGCTTATTTTTGACTAATAAGCTACAGGCCTGATCAAAGGCTGCTGTAGCAACCACAAAACATTACAGTCACATTGCATACACAATGTCTATATTTAGCCCTGGTAGAAATCTTTGCAGAGCAGCCCTCTATGCTGAAATGGCATATCCTTACCTCACGGCTGTACTTGATTCCAGACTTGTGAATCCGACACGGCCGTGACGTTTTACTCTAGTGACATAACAACCTTCCTGCCCACGTGCATATCACAGGGCACCCCAATCATCCGCTGCCGTAGATGAGAACTGGCGAGCACCCACTGGCCGCCCCATTTCTACTCATATTGCATCAGTGCCTTCCATCCTCAGATGCCTAGTCTGTTTGTTTTGACCACAAACTCTGTTAAGTAAGCTTTCTGTAGCATATATGTAGTATCTCAAAACAACAACAAAAAGCTGCTAATGGAAACATAGAACCCTTTTTTGGAGGGGAAAAAAAAAACAATAAAGAGAAAAACCTCTCGAGAGGTCAACAGTCCTCGATACTAACAGCTTCCACCAGTACTTTCCTTAAAACATACTCATTTGAACTAGAGTTTTCAAAGTTGCCCCAGGCGACTTTAAGAATAAAGAGCTAAACCAGAACTGGCCCATTAGTGACAGAAAAGAGGAAAACAGAAACGACCATCTGAACTGACTAACCGCAACATAACTGACTGATGCTTCTCCCTGTAGCGTTTAATCTTGCCTGATTCCCACGTACCGCAGCCCACCGAGAGCTCATCACACGACCTACAGCACCCCCGGCACACTGCTGCTGCTGTGGATGGGCAACGCCACAGGCACTTTTCAGGTAACAGGGATCACCAATGTGTACTCCATAATTTCTACTCTGTCCTCAAGGCAGGCATCAGATTTTCAGATAGTGCCAAGCCTGTTCCTCCTGCCCACGGCTCCATTTCAAGGCAATGACTATCCAACTCTCAAAGTGGCAGCCTTGGCACTGGAAAAAATACCGGATGCGGACTGAGTATCCATGATGTTCATCACAGGACTCGGAGCTACTGCAACTCTGCCTGGGGTTATGATCTCTGCTTGCAAGATGCTGCTTTTAGAAGTCTCTAAAGCCTGGCCAAAATTACACACAACCCTCCACTCGCTCTTGAAAAACCTCAACTATGATTATCCCAAGGAACCAAAACAAGCCTTCAGCAGCATTTAAAGCAGTAACAGCAGCCTCAAATTTATCATGCTTTTTGACATTATTATGTGCACCCTCTTAGTATAGAAAATACAAAGTCCTGTACACACACAAGGCAGTTCATTATTAACGTGCACTGGTACAGCGTGGCAGAGACTGGGCTGTGCAGAGCACAGCCAGGGGGTTTACTGCACCCGAAACAGAACTCCATCCCCTTGAGGCACCCCTTTCAGCCTCCACCCACCCTTCTCTCACTCTGACCTGCACATCCCAGCAGGGCAGACTGGGTACCCACGCAAATGGCCAGCCCTTCTCCTCCCCAGATTTCAAACCAGTCGCCTCCTGAAGAACTTGGAGGCTGAAGGTCTCATCCGCTCTTCTCCCAGCTCTGAGGTATTTCCCACCCTTCACGGCAAGAGCTGCCATGGAAGATGGATTTAAGAACACCATTTGTCAAATTATTGCCTTTTTCAACTACTTGAGGATTTCAAGTGGTTTTGTTCAATTTTAAAGGGGATTTCTCTGAATAAAACCAACATCCAGTCTTCTTGTAATGACTATGAGAGCAAAAGGGAGCTGATGGCCAAATAAATAAATAAATAAATAAATGAAACTCCTCGCCTGACCAGTGTCAGGTTTTGCAATTAAATCAGCCTTTCAGACAAAACAATATGCATCTTTTCCAGTGAATTGATAAGGTGTTACTGCACAAGATGTTTGTTTTTCAGTATCAGTCAATGGATATGTTGTGTTTCACTAGGAAAGTTGCTGGGGGAAGGAAGAGGGAGAAAGGGAGGCCAGGAGAAGCAAACAGCTTATCTGCAAAAACACTCCGGTTTCTGAGGAAAGAGTCTTACACATCTGTAATTTCATTTAGAAAAAACAGATAGATAATATTTTTCAAGCTGATTGGTTCTGACAGGCAAAACATTTCTTCTGAATTTATATAGAGGCATCCTTTTACAGCTCCTCAGAATGTTTTCTGAGCAACAACTGATAAGCCATTTTCTAAGTCTGTCCAAATACAGTTTTCCAGTAAAAGTTTTCAGTCTGTTACTGTGCACAACGGATGGCACAGGGGCTTTTCCACTGAGTCCCATGAGAATCGAGGGAACTGGTTCTTAAAGAGCACTGTGAGCTGGCTGCAGACCTTTCAGGCATCTACCCTACAGAGGGAACAGGGAGCAGAAACTTTCTGCAACACAACGACCACTCTCATACAATTTAATAAAGACTAATGATCTGAAATGGACATAATTTCAGAGTAGGCAGGTAAAAATACAAGGGCAGCAGTACCCCCTTAAATTAATTTGCAACTGACTCAATACCTTGGGCACTGACTTACAGGAAAAGAGCTAGGAAAGATTTCAAGAAATGGCCTACTTCATCTTCCAGACCCAACTCTATTTGCCTGCCTACAAAAGGCAAATAAATCTGCATTTTTAGAATAAAACAGTCTGAATTTCCCATTACACTAACAAGGTAGGTGGTTAGCGTAAAAAGAAAACTCATCAGAGAAAGGAGGGGTGATGTTATCTGCACAACTTTCACTACAAGACTACAAACAACCAGTAAAGCTATGCAACTCTGACACTGAGACAATAAAGAAATGGAAATCTGACAATAATTTTTTTATAGAAATTCCATTTGGTTTTGGTCAACACTTATTCAACAGAGATGCCTAACAAACAATTGAATAGGACCTCATTTGACATATAATAATTAATCACAGGCAAAGAGCACTAGGTCCATATTGCAGGATGTTCTAAAAAACTCCTAGGATAATAAGGCGTGATTTTTATGATGCATTAGATTAATAAAAATCATACAGCATAGACAACTCTCACTTCAGAAACAAAAGGATCTAACAAAGTGGCCCTCCAAAAAATATTAAAAAAGAAAAGGGAAGGGAGAAGAAACCTTCATTTTATCTTGAAGTTGACACAGTTTTCCTTTTGGGAAATTTTCCACAATGTGCATCCTCTAAAACGTGCCTTGATATCGGACATGCAATCAGCTTAACATCCTGCGCAGCACAAACAGAC